GTAATATATTTACTGAGAAAAATTGTGACGTGTTCAATACTTATTTTACCCGCTGTATATACACATGCAACTAGTAGTCCTGTTAATTTTTGCAAATTTCAGTGCATGTTTTTGTGAAAAATCCTCTGCAAAAGGTATCATATTGACTTTTTTCGTTGACAGGTTTTTTTCCACAAAAAAAGCAAATCAGGTTCAGCTCGAATTTCTATTAAAGCTTGTTTCTTGTGAAATTCACCCACGCTGAGGTCCTTCTTGGTCCCAACGAGGAACAGTAAAACACTGGATGGATCATTTTCCCTCATGGCATCCTCCAGCCATAGCCTACACACACACACACACAGACACACACACATGAGTCTAAATGATTGTATCACAGAGTAACAACGAGCAAACACTGGATTGTTGTGTACCTGGCGTGCGCTAAAGAGCCGACACTGCTCAGGTCAAACACAACAATGATGGCTGCAGAAACACAGGTGGGTGAGAAAAGAGACGTCAGAGGATGAAGCTGTTTTCATCAGAACATCAMCGAGGCTGAGCTGAACTCACCTTGTGCTCCTCTGTAATATGTCGAAGCAATGCACCTGAATCTCTCCTGACCCGCCGTGTCCCACCTGGAACAACTCAGACACGAGCGAAGCAACGCTTCTTAGTTTCATGACGAACTCAGGGAAACATTACAGTTAACTCTGAGGCACAGCGACACACTCACAGCTGCAAACTGAAGGGAACACCRAGCACCTCGAAACGCTCCATCTCAAAATCCACCCCGATGGTCGCTTTGTAGCCTCGATCAAACGCATCCTTACAGAACCTGAGAGGAGAAAAATAGGTTTAACAAGAGGGAGAGAGARAAGTTCATTTCACACTACAGAAGAAATTTAAAACTGTTTTTTAAAATGCTTTTCTCTACATCAGCTTAAAACTCAACCTCGTTTTAGTGAGGCGGGAAAAAAAATCTGAATTAAATACATAAAACTAATAATTTGAATGTTTCTAATCGTTTCTCACCTGCTGATCAAACAAGTTTTCCCAACAGCAACATCTCCAACAACAATCACTTTGGCGACACTAAAGCTGGGAAAAAAAAGTCATTTAACTCCTCATACTAAAACAATTTAAACTATTATTATTTAACTATCCTTTAAATACACCAGCCTGCTGTGGAGCAACAAATGTGGACAGTCAAATGTGAGT